ACTGACAAATCCATTTGTTCTCTAGGCTTTCTTAACTTGTTAATCTCACTCCAAAACTTTTTCTTATTTTCAACAAAATTTGTTGATAACATCTCACCCACTCTCTCATTTGCTCTCCTTTTACATTGCTTCACCACTCTCTTAACCTCTCTCTTTTTCTCCATATACTCTTCCCTCCTTGCATCACTTCTACTTTGTAAAAACTTCTCATATGCTAACTTTTTCTCCCTTACTACTCTCTTTACATCATCATTCCACCAATCGCTCCTCTTCCCTCCTGCACCCACTTTCCTGTAACCACAAACTTCTGCTGAACACTCTAACACTACATTTTTAATCCTACCCCATACCTCTTCGACCCCATTGCCTATGCTCTCATTAGCCCATCTATCCTCCAATAGCTGTTTATATCTTACCCTAACTGCCTCCTCTTTTAGCTTATAAACCTTCACCTCTCTCTTCCCTGATGCTTCTATTCTCCTTGTATCCCATCTACCTTTTACTCTCAGTGTAGCTACAACTAGAAAGTGATCTGATATATCTGTGGCCCCTCTATAAACATGTACATCCTGAAGTCTACTCAACAGTCTTTTATCTACCAATACATAATCCAACAAACTACTGTCATTTCGCCCTACATCATATCTTGTATACTTATTTATCCTCTTTTTCTTAAAATATGTATTACCTATAAACTAAACCCCTTTCTATACAAAGTTCAATCAAAGGGCTCCCATTATCATTTACACCTGGCACCCCAAACTTACCTACCACACCCTCTCTAAAAGTTTCTCCTACTTTAGCATTCAGGTCCCCTACCACAATTACTCTCTCACTTGGTTCAAAGGCTCCTATACATTCACTTAACATCTCCTAAAATCTCTCTCTCTCCTCTGCATTCCTCTCTTCTCCAGGTGCATACACGCTTATTATGACCCACTTCTCGCATCCAACCTTTACTCTAATCCACATAATTCTTGAATTTACACATTCATATTCTCTTTTCTCCTTCCATAACTGATCATTTAACATTACTGCTACCCCTTCCTTTGCTCTAACTCTCTCAGATACTCCAGATTTAATCCCATTTATTTCCCCCACTGAAACTCTCCTACCCCCTTCAGCTTTGTTTCGCTTAGAGCCAGGACATCCAACTTCTTTTCATTCATAACATCAGCAATCATCTGTTTCTTGTCATCCGCACTACATCCACGCACATTTAAGCATCCCAGTTTTATAAAGTTTTTCTTCTTCTCTTTTTTAGTAAATGTATACAGGAGAAGGGGTTACTAGCCCATTGCTCCCGGCATTTTAGTCGCCTCATACGACACGCATGGCTTACGGAGGAAAGATTCTTTTCCACTTCCCCCATGGACAATAGAAGAAATAAAAAAGAACAAGAGCTATTTAGAAAAAGGAGAAAAACCTAGATGTATGTATATATATATATATATGCATGTGCGTGTCTGTGAAGTGTGACCAAAGTGTAAGTAGGAGTAGCAAGATATCCCTGTTATCTAGCGTGTTTATGAGACAGAAAAAGAAACCAGCAATCCTACCATCATGCAAAACAGTTACAGGTTTTTGTTTCACAGTCATCTGGCAGGACGGTAGTACTTCCCTGGGTGGTTGCTGTCTACCAACCTACTACCTTGTTAGTACTATCAACATTAATTTAAAAAAAATTTTATTTTGTTCTGATAGTAGGTGCCTTTTAATTAATTACCTTCACTCTGAATCTTATGTGATAAATTACCAAAAGGGGGAGATGGGGTCCCAACAATGTGCCTAGTTCCAGGGCCCAGATTGGCTGGCTACACCCCTGCATCATTATGCTATGCGATCAAATGAATAATCTCCGATGTGCAGTGCTGAGTGGGATCCAGGAAATAGCATCACTAAGAACCACAGTTGTCTCAATAGTCTTTGCTGAGTCACATGTGATGGTGTGTACTGTGTTCTTGTTGAGTGTACATGAATAATCTTCATAACCTTGATGCTTTTACATATGTGTTTTTTACTGATTTTAAGTACATGGTATCGGCAACTTTGCACAGATAACGATACCATAAAAAAAACTGGTACTCATCAATACCTGGCATACCCTTACTCAATACACAGTTTCAAGAGTGGATATATAAAAGCCTGAGAGGCAAGAAGTCAATGATGCCAATCAAAGTAGTCTAGGAGGTAGAGCCAGGAGCTAAGTCTTAACCCCCTCAAACACAACTATTGAATACAATTTGGTCAGTACAGACATGCTGACATACACACATGGATACTAGAATTTAACTCCAATGCATGTATAAAAATTAGGGGGGGAGCCACAATGAAGACCAGCAACAAAATTCAGGCTTAAGGAACACAGGATGCAAACCTCACTAAATGAGAAGAACCTTGGGGGCGTGTATAGTTCCGAACATTTTGCCTACAGCAAGCGAGGCACACATGAATATGCATGGGCAGAAAGGCTGAATGGAATTTGGGAATGACAAAGCATCAAAGGCCATATCTGAGCCAAAGTTGATATACAGCCGTATCAGAAGAAAGGCAACTGTGAAATACCAGGTAATAAGGCAGAAGAAGGTAAATTGGAGCTTACCAGGAATGACAAGGAACTCAGTGAGGAGCTGAATAAAAGGCACAGAGGCATTCTCAGTGGAATCTGGAACACTGCCAGAGTCAATGAGAGAGAGTGCACTAACAAGTACTGGATACAATACAGACAACAGGAGGAGAGGTAAAGAAAATACTGAGTGAACTAGATACCTTAAAAGCAATGGCACTAGACAAAATCTCTCCATGGGCTCTGCGAGAAGGAGAAAAGGAACTGAGTGAACCATCAATGATCTTCAACAAATAGACTGAAACAGGACAGCTGCCAGAGGTCTGAAAAACAGCTAATGTCATCCCAATATTCAAAAGGAGACAGGTGGCACTGAATTACAGGCCAGTGTCACTTATATGCACAGCATGTAAGGTTATGAAGAAGATTATCAGAATAGTGGAGCACCTGGAAAGGAGTAGATTCATGAACAACAACCAGCACAGTGTTCAAGAGGGTAAATACTGTTTCACAAATCTGATAAGAGTTCTATGGTAAGCTAACAAAAGTTAGGCAGGGTAGGAATGGGTGGAGTGAACATTTCTGGATTGCAAGAAGGCATTCTATACAATATCCCACAAGACTGGCACAAAACTAGAGCAGCAGGCAGAAATTACAGGAAAATCATTACAGTGGATCAAAGAATACTTAACAGGAAGGAAGCAATGAATTACTGTCAGGGAGGTGTTGGAATGGGAGTGTGCAATGAGTGGGGGTTCCAAAATGGTCAGTACTTGGAGCAGTACCATTACTTTTGTATGTGAACAACGTCACAAAGGAAATTGAGTCAGATGTCAGCAGATGATGTGAAACTAACGAGAATACAAACTGGAGTAGACCGGGAAAAAAGACTACAAATGGATCTGGACAAGCTGCAGGATTGGTCTGACAAGTGACTACTGGAACTTTACCCTAGCAAATGCAAAGTTATGAAAAATAAAGTGCAAAGACGTCTGGAAACAGCGTACAGACCTGGGAGACGAAGGTTGCAAACCTCCCTGAAAGAGCAGCACCCTGGTATGAGCATAATTCCGAACATTTCACCAAAGGCACACAACCGAATACAGTGGACCCCCGCCTTACGATCAGCTCCCAACTCGACCAATTATATAAGTGTATTTTTGTAAGTGCTTTTGTATGTGTATTTTTGTGGGTCTGAAACGGACTAATCTAATTCACAATATTCCTTATGGGAATAAATTCGATCTATAACGGCACCCGAACAGACCTCTGGAATGAAATAATATCATAAGGCGGGGGTCCACTGTAATTGCTGCAGCAATTAAGGGTATCGTTCACCGACATCAACAAGGAGGCATTCACAACCTTGTACATAGAATATGTGAGGTCCATCTTTGAGTATGCAGTACCAGTATGGAACCAACATTTGCTTAACTGGAAAATGTGCAGTGGTTTGCAACAAAATTAGTCCCAGAGCTGAAGGGTATGACCTATGGGAAGATGCTAGAGAAGATAAACCTGATGACACTAGAGGACAGAAGGATCAAAGGTGACACAAGTACAACATACAAAATACCCAGAGGCCTTGACATGGTGAACAAAGAGAGTCCGAGTGGCAGATCTCAGGCACACGAGGTCACAGCTGGAAGTAATAAGTACAAATGAGTGCCAGTGATGCTAGGAAAGAGGAACAACCAAGACAGACAAATGGTAGAGGCAAAATCCATACATAACTTTAAGAACAGGTATGATAGGTTTCACACAGGCAGGAAAGACTGAAACCAGTAGCTACTTCTGTAGCTACAAATAGGCAAATACAAACCTCACGGGCACAGTCACTCCCTCACTCTCCCCTTCTCACTCTAAAATGTAGTATGTCAGCATATGATTAAGATCTGTCAGGAAACTTTTGTACCATTTCCTGACAAATAAAACAACTCAATCCCTCACTCTCCCTTTCTCTTACTCACCCTTCTTCCCACTACCCTCACTCTCCCTACCTCCCACTTCCCTCACTCTCCCTTCCTCCCATTCCTTCACTCTCACTTTCCCATTTCATCAAAATTTCCCTCATTCTCATTTATTTCTAAATGGAAACAAAGCATTATGCTATCACATAAAGAAGTGTAGCTATAATAAGCATTTGATATGAAACATGATAAATGCCTTCAGTTTACTAAATTTATCATTATAAAATTTAAATATTTCAAGATTAACACAAGCACAATAAATAGGTAGTATATATAATCAGGGTCACAGACCAGATAGTGAGGGCACTGACCCCCAAAACCCTCTCCAGGTATACTCTAGGGTACAGCTTGTAGAGTGCCCCAGGAATGGAAGGCAATCAAGTTTGATCTAAGAGAAGGACAGGTCCAATTCCTTTGACCAAGAGTCTTCACTGGTATCAGTGTACTAATAAATAATTCCTTACCGAGAACTTGCAGTGCCAGAAGAGGCTGATGATGACGATGTCTTTCTTGACCTTGAAGTAATTACAACTGAACTCTTTTTAGTATTAGATGAAATCAAGGATTTGGCTGGAGCTGAAGTCTTTCTTCTGACAGACACTGTGCTGGGAAGATTTTCAAGACTCCCACCTAGAACACTGTTGAAAAAAATACTTATGTAGTGCTGAATTCTTAATTCTTAATATATATCAAGTTATTAAATATTTAATTATAGATTAAAAAAGTTCACTATGTCTTATTCTGAAATAAGCCTTGCCATAAGCATCTCATGGTAAGGTTTGCTGTACAAAACATTGATAAACACTAGTCTTTAACAATAATTAAAATTTTACTCACTATTTCATTTTTAAAACTCATTTGTTATATAACCTGACAACTGTGATTAGCAGTCTAGCAGCACTTGATATTGTTAAAATGCTTTAAAAACAGCAAGGGTCACAACAGAGAAATGAAACCCTACATTTAAAATACTGATCTTTCTTTCAACAAACCAGCCATATCCCACCGAGGCAGGGTGGCCCAAAGAGAAAAACGAAAGTTTTTCTTTTTAACTTTAGTAATGTATACAGGAGAAGGGGTTACTAGCCTCTTGCTCCTGGTATGTTAGTTGCCCCTTATGACACGCATAGCTATGGAGTAAGAATTCTGTTCTGCTTGCCCATGGAGATAAGAGGAAATAAACAAGAACTAATATGAAAACAGAAGAAAACCCAGAGGGGTGTCTATATATATATGTTTGTACATGCATGTGCAGTGTGACCTAAGTAGAAGTAGCAAGACATACCTGAAATCTTGCATGTTTATTAGACAAAAAAAAAAAAAAAATAGACACCAGCAATCCTATCATGTAAAACAATTACAGGCTTCCATTTTACACTCACTTTTCAGGACAGTAGTACCTCCCAGGGCAGTTGCTGTCTACTAATCTACTACCCAGGAAAATAATGATATATTGCATAAAATATTCATACCACATGGAAACTATGAAAAAATTATTATTCAAGAAAGGGGGGGAAAAATTCATAAGCAATATGCAAAAATCAAATAAAAAATCTCTTCCAATACCAACCCCTATTTACAGGAACAATATACACATATGAAAACAGAAATGAACAATATGAACTCATGTTCTGCAATCAAACCAACCGAAATGAGCAAGGTAACATTAATGAAGAAATTTGCAGAAATGGGTTAGCTGCACTGGAGTTTTAAAGGTAGGAAGTACAGTACCAGCACACCGAAGGAGGGAGGGGTAATGGTGCAGCTCATAGGGTTCTTGGAATTATGATATCTGTAGACTTTGGACAAGTCTACTCAAGTAGCCAAAACCCTCCCTCTCCTCCTTAAAAATGAGTGGATCAAGTGGACTTTTTTCAACAAGAAGCCAAATGATTTTACTCTTCAAAGCAAGTAGACTTTTCTTTTAGTATACGTATACTGTTCTGACCTTTTTATCTCCTTTCCAAGCAAGTAAGACATCCAAGCAAGCAAATACATACACAAAAGTTATTTACTGCTTGCATACCAATTAAAATATTTAAACTATTGTAGAGGATAACTTTACAGAACTCAGAATGTCCCCTAAAATTGAGAAGACGCTCATACTGCAGTATCTATACATTAAAAATTACTCGAAGGCCAGGTAACTAATCTGCACACTAAAGTAACTTATTGGAGTGAGAGAGATGAAAGATCAGATGGAATTTAAAGCAGATAAGTCATTCAATGGAAATGGGAGAGAGCAAAAAACATGCCACATGAATATAAAAACTATGATAAAAACATTACTGAAAAAGACGGAATCCTGCCACACTTCATCCATATCATGCCTGCAGCAGCAGATGAAGGATATGTGGGTCAACCAGTTATCCAATGAGTACTTTAGGAATCTGAGTGAAAGTATGCCCAAAGACTTCATACTCCAAACATGTTACATGAAAATTGAACTAGGTAGTGGTATTATGATGTCTGCACCATGTGGACAAGATAACAAAAAAAAAAGCTTTAAAAGGCTCCCCGAGTTTAAAAATGAGTTATGAAAAAAGGCTCAAAGCATTAGATGTGCCTTCTTTGGCAGATAGGAGGAAAAAGAGGAGACATGACAACTATACGTAATACTACGCAAATAACCAGCACATTGGAAAGAAAAGCTTATGATATTTTGGTTCGACTTGGACCATTTACAACGTCAATGTGACTTTGTAAATGGTCCAAGTCCGACCGAAATGTCATCAAAAGCTTCTCTCACCTATGTATGAGTTATCTGTGTAGTGTTCCAGTCATGGCATTGTGCCTTTTTGTTCTTTAACCACATATAAGATTCTGAAGGGATATAGTACAAATTGTTAAGGAAGATTGGCCAAAGAAATATACATGTATACTGAACTAGAAAACTGTTCTTCACATCAGTAGCAGAACAAGTGAATGGTTCAAAAGAAAGTAATATGATAAGTGTCCAAACACTGAAAATCTTGAACAAAAATAGCTACACGATAGATGAAATATTAAGATGAAACACACAATCTCTTATAGGTAACAAAATAGGTACACACACTGCATGCTATACAAGAATACACAAGTCAAATAAGAATAAAGCAACATCGCATGAATTTCTAGTTTGTGATAAGCACCAAATATATCCTTACCTGATAAGTTTACTAGGAGCTGAGGCTTTTCGAGGTGATGAGCAGACAGCAGTGTTGACTCTAGTTGGTCTGGAAGGATTATTTCGCAATACCCGAGTAGACTGTACTGACGAGACAGGAGTTGTAGGAGCACGTAACTTAGTGCCGTGGGCTTTATTGGGAGAATCCAATAAAGGAACCTGGCTGACTGACGTGCCGAGTCCTCCACTGGTACTGCTATTCCCTCCTGCCCTGTAAAACCATAAAGGAAAAATATATTCCAGGATTTCTTGACAGTACTTGCATATAATTGTAGAGCACTAAATTTGAGGACCTATTATAATTCAGGCTGCTGCTGGTGGCCTACATATCCATCACAGCCTGGTTGATTTGGTACCTGGTGGAGATCAAGCAGGCTGTTACAGATATGTGAGTCAGCAGGCCACATATCCAACCCAAGAATTAAACAGAGCTGTTGGAGTGTGAGCAGAGTAATATTTTATGAAGGGTTTCAGGGAAACCAGTTAGCCGAATTTGAGTCCTGGAGGTGGGAAGTACAGTACCTGCACTCTAAAGGAATGGTTTGAGATATTTGCATCTGTGCACCTCTGGCAAAACAGTGATAGTGTGAATGATGGTGAAAGCATTTCTTTTTCAGGTCACCCTGCTTCAGTGGTAGACAGCCAGCATGTTAAAACATTATATATGCTGTATATATAATTAATCAATTAGTGCAACTTGCTGAACCCTTACAGTAGCCTTAAATGCACCACAATGATTGTCAAAGTTTGTGTCATAAATATTTACTATCTACTTAAGTGATATCTAAATTTAAATTTTAAACCTAATCCTATAAAGAAATCAATGAAAAATTCAATACCAACTGTACCTAAATGACTAAACAGCAATGGATACATAGTACATAACTGTAGGGTATCCCCATCAACATCAGAAGTGAGTATCAAAGAAAACTGTCAATTCTAAAGTAGTACTTAAAAAATTGAACATTCTTTTACATATTCTTTTTAAGTAAAGAACGAGCATTAATTTTGATTGGCACATATTCGAAATTTCCATGTCAGAACAATAAGAGTGGTGATAGAGAGATGTTATTGTTCCAAATTAGAATTCTTCACTTGACTTACGGTGCATATAGACATTAATCCGACCAATTTGTGAAAGCTTAATTGCTTTAATGAAATTAAGAAGTACATACCATATTAAAAATACCTGCTGACAACCAAAGCTTGACAGCTTCTGCCTCAACTCTTCAATTTCCACCTTTCTTACTGTAAACACGTTTCATTTAATGTAACTACAGTAATGATGAACAGATTTACTATTTCCTAGCACACCTCTCTCACTGAACTCGTCTTCTGAATTTTAAATTTGTATTTTTCTTTTAATTTGCTGGTGTTATCTAATGCTCTCTAATTTCTACTAATTTATTACTTCTCTTATTCTGTACAATGGCAATACAAGACAGTATCAATACAAACTTGACTAGTATCTTGGAATTTCTTACACTATTACTTTCTAATTATTTCAAATGTACAGTACACTATCATAACCTTAGTAAAAAATAATTAGCACACAGGGCAGCCAACAGTAACAGCCTGGATGATTAGACCCTGATCCACCACAAGGCCTGGTCTCAGACCAGGCTGTGGGGGCGTTGACCCCCGGAACTCTCTCCAGGTATACACAAATACGTAATGTGCACTGAAACTTATGACAACGTTTTGGACCAACTTGGACCATTAACCAGTCTAATGGTCCAAGACAGACCGAAATGTTGCCATGAGTTTCAGTCTCCTAAGTGCAGGCTATTTGTATATTGTTCCACTCATGGTTTTGTGCTTTTTTATTCTTTAAAAAATAATTAAATAAAAATTCCAGTATATACAGCATTTATGTAGTTCATGATTAATTTAAAGTGTTCCTATGTTTAAGATTATTAGATATCTATATTATTTTAAAATGCATACACATCATCTTGTAACAATTTACAAGGTGCAGTTTACTGCAATGCATCCTCCAGCAATTAATAAGGTCATTTTGGCAATGAGCATAGTATATAGATGCATTAGAATATTAAGGGGTGGTAAGTAGTAATAGTAATGAAGCCTTCCAAAATATACTGATAATATAGAAAGACTAAATTTATCTTTTAAAAACTTTCCCCAAGCTTGTGAATGACTACAATACACTGAATACATATTAAACTGTATACAGTATAATTATGCTGCAGATTTTAATCCTGGAGAATAAGCACACCAATATAAAAAATACATACTGTATATGGTTAAAATAAACAGTTGTACCACACAATTAAAGTGTTAAAATGGTAGATGCAAATCAATTATATAACATACAGTAATTACAAAAACTGATTCAGGGACTCTTTCTTCAAGACTGGCCTGATTTTTGTGTCTGCTATGTCTTTAGAATGTAATATAAATGATATGTAGTGAATTTCATGTTATAAGTTTGTGAATTAATCAAGTCAATTGTTATACTTTTAGGAAGTTCAGCCACTGGGAAGAACAATGAATCATCTCTCTACCTGGAGGTTATTCCGGGGATCAATTGTCATGTGGGTTCGATAACGTGGATGGGGTAAAAATACTCACGTAGGCTGGTTAGTACGTATAATATATAACGGAAAGTATGAGAAGCGCCATCAGCCGTCCTGCCTCTCTCTGCTCCCTATCTCAGACTGACCCACCAGTGCCTAGCGGGTGAACGGCATTCAAAAACATGCTATGGTCAGCAGCAACATGAATAAGTCAGTGATTCACACAGACGGTTGGTAGCGAGTCATCTACTGGTAACTGGTTACTGGTAACTGGTACTACTGAGACAATGCCCCCGCGGCCCGGTCCATGACCAGGCCTCCCGGTGGATCAGGGCCTGATCAACCAGGTTGTTACTGCTGGCCACACACAGTCCAACGTACGAGCCACAGCCCAGCTGATCCGGCACTGACTTTAGGTATCTGTCCAGCTCTCTCTTGAAGGCAGCCAGGGGTTCATTGGTAATTCCCCTAATGTTTGATGAGAGGCTGTTGAACAGTCTTGGGCCCTGGACACTTACGGTGTTTTCTCTTAGTGTACCAATGGCACCCCTACTGTTAATTGGGGGTATTTTGCATCGCCTGCCCAGTCTTTTACTTTCGTAGGGAGTGATTTCTGTGTGCAGATTCGGGACCATTCCTTCCATGATTTTCCAAGTGTAGATTATGATATATCTCTCTCTCATGCGTTCCAACGAGTACAAGTCAAGTGCTTCCAAGCGTTCCCAGTAGTTAAGGTGCTTGACAGAACTTATATTGCAGTAAAGGATCTCTGTACACTCTCTAGATCTGCAATTTCACCTGCTTTGAATGGAGATGTTAATGTACAGCAGTATTCCAGCCTAGAGAGAACAAGTGATTTGAAAAGGATCATCATTGGCTTGGCATCTCTCGTTTTGAACGTTCTCATTATCCATCCTATCATTTTCTTTACACTTGTGATCGTGGCACTGTTGTGATCCTTGAAAGTGAGATCCTCAGACATTACTACTCCCAGGTCCCTTAAATTATTTTTCCGCTCTATTGTATGGCCAGAGTTTGTAGTACACTCTTTCCATAACGAAGTAGTTGGAATTTGTCCTCATTGAACATCATATTGTTTTCCGTTGCCCACTGGAAAACTTTGTTTATATCTTCTTGGAGGTTAACCGTGTCCTCAGCAGATGACAGCCTCATGCAGATCCTAGTATCATCCGCAAAGGATGATACGGTGCTGTGGTGTATATCTCTGTCTATGTCTGATATGAGGATAAGGAATAAGATGGGGGCGAGTACTGTGCCTTGTGGAACAGAGCTCTTCACTATGGCAGCCTCCGATTTAACTCTGTTGACCACTACTCTGTGTTCGATTTGTTAGGAAGTTGAAGATTCATCTCCCAACTTTGCCAGTTATTCCTTTAGCACGTATTTTGTCCGCTATTATGCCATGATCGCATTTGTCAAACGCTTTTGCAAAGTCTGTGTATATTACATCTGCATTCTGATTTTCTTCCAGTGCATCCAAGGCCATATCATAGTGATGCTGAGAGAAATCATTTCCAGAAGATACCCAAAAGATAATGGGCAATTTTTATTCTATGGAGTGACTTCTGAACTCACCCAACATCTATTTGTATTTACGGCATCTCACTGCCCAAAAAGATTTTGTTATAAAAGACAAAAGAGGAGTGGAGCTAAAATGACATACAGTAAATCCTCAGTAAATCCTCTAAAATTATGGGCAAAATCCAATGGTTAAATTATACATTTAAACTCCATATTTTCAATGCTTATTGCAGATCTGTAAATTGTGTGCACAGTACTCTATTAGATATACAGTAGAATAGTGATTATTTTTTTTAACATTAATCTGATTTAATGGACACTCAGACAATCCTTCCCTATTAGTCTGTTACAGTATATCGAGGGTTTACTGTACTGTAATCCATGGATCTTAGTGCTGCAAGTAATATGGCTGTATACTGAATAGAAAAAAGATCTCTCTCCCTCCAGAGGTAGCAGTTGCTCAAGAACTCCAGGACTAGGGCAAGTGTAACTTGTTTGGGTTTGTAAAATGTAGAAAGGCGCGAGAATTTCTTTAAGATATGTATTACCATATTATTATACAGCATTTACAGGAAGTGTTAAACCAACAAAACTCATTCAGCACTGCATGACAAAAAGGAGGCTAGCACTGGAGAAAAGGATGTAGAAGGATTGAGGACAAAGTCAGTGCAGCAAATCAACTTCAGCTAAAAAGGGAATGAGAAATCAAATTAATTATGAGATTTTAGAGAAAGGCAGAAATGTTAAACATGCAAAGGCACTGAAGGGAAGGTCAAAAATTAAGTTGGTGTGTTCTGTGATGAAAAGGACAAGTCCTCAAAAAACACTCAAATGCAAAATAGTAACAGCAGCTTTGAACCCAAGTACAGTGGACCCTCGGGTTTCTTAAGGCTCCTGCTTCGTAAATTTAAACTTTTGACAACTTTTTTCATCAAAATACATACAGCCTTGTGGTTCGTAATTTGGCTTGCCATTCATTGCTCATCTAGAATGCATACGAGTAGCGTTCCAGCGCCTGCGCCACACAAAGGCGCCCCACACACCATTACCAGTCAGTGTGGCATTGTTTACTGGCAAGTGAACATTACCCCATGCATTCATACGATACATTTCATAATATTCCATTCTTTTTTGTGCTTGTAACTTCTAAATAAGCCACCATGGGCCCAAAGAAAACTTCTAGTGCCAGCCCTTTGATAAAGAATGTGAGAAACACGACAAAATTCAAGAAAGAAATCATTGCAAAATATGAAAGTGGCATGCGTGTGGCCCATCTTGCCAGGATGTACCGGAAGCCCCATACAACCATCGCTTCCATTGTGAGGAAGAAAATGGAAATCAAGGAAGCTGTTGTTGTGAAAGGGGTAGATATGCTCACAAAAAAGAGATTGCAAATACTAAAAGATGTTGAGAATTTATTATTGGTGTGAATCAACCAAAAACAGTTAGCAGGAGATAGTGTTATGCAGTCAATAATTTGTGAAAAGGCAAGGCAGTTGCATGCCAATCTTGCAAAGAAAATGCCTGGAACGAGTGCTGATGTTAGTGAATCTAAGGCCAGCAAAAGCTGGTTTGAGAGATTTAAGAAGCGTAGTGGGATACACAGTGTGGTAAGGCTGCAAGTTCTGACAAATGTGTGGCTGAAAAATTTGTGAAGGAATTCAAGGACTATGTAGAGGCTGAAGGATTCATCCCCCAACAAGTGTTCAATTGTGATGAAACACGCCTCTTTTGGAAGAAAATGCCAAAGAGGACCTACATCACGCAGGAGGAAACAGCACTGACAGGATACAAGCCTATGAAAGACAGGCTATCTCTCATGTTCTGTGGTAATGCTAGTGAGAATTTCAAAGTGAAGCCTTTACTGGTGTATCACTGAAAATCCCAGTGTTCAAGAAAAACAGTGTCGCCAAGAGTAAATTGTGTGCGATGTGGAAGGCTATCAGTAAGGCATGGGTCACGACGGAAATTTTCCTTGATTGGTTCAATGAAGTGTTTGGACCGAGTGTGAAGAAATACCTCCTGGAAAAAGAAATTGCCACTCGAGTGCCTCCTGGTAATGGACAATGCTCCTGCGCATCCTCAAGATTTGGATGGCCAAATGGTGTAGTAGTTCAGTTTCATCACAGTGAGGTTCTTGCTCCCTAATACCACTCCTCTCATCCAGCCCATGGACCAGCACATCATTTCAAACTTCAAAAAACTCTACGCCAAAGCAATGTTTCAAAGGTGCTTTGATGTGACCTCAGACACTCAAATGACCCTAAGAGAGTTCTGGAAAGATCACTTCAATATCCTCCATTGCATAGGTTTTGTGGATAAGGCTTGGCAGGGAGTGACTACCAGGACTTTGAACTCTGCTTGGAGAAAATTGTGGCCAGACTGTGTTCTCGATAAAGATTTTGAAGGGTTTGGGGCTGACCCTGAGAACCCTATGCCAGTTGTGGTATCTATTGTGGCATTGGAGAATTCCATGGGGTTGGATGTGAGTGGCCAGGATGTGGAAGAGTTGGTGGAGGACCACAGTGAAGAGCTAACCACTGAAGAGCTGCAAGACCTTCATCTGCAACAGCTCAGGAAATTGCTTCAGAGGAGGAGAAAGAGAGATGGAAGAAGGTTCCTTCTTCAAAGCTTAAGGACATTTGTGCAAAGTGGAGTGAGGTGCAAACATTTATGGAGGAACATCACCCTGACAAAGCTGTTGCGAGCCGTGTCGGTAACATGTACAATGACAATGTCTCGTCCCATTTGGGGCAAATTTTAAAGATGCCAGAAACAGAGCTCTCTGGAACAATTTTTTTGAGCAACAGGGGTCCAGTGACTCTCAAGCTGGTCCTAGTGGCATTAAGAAACAAAGAAGGGAAGTAACCCCAGATAAGGACTTGGTACCTAGTCTTTATGGAAGGGGATTCCCCTTCAAAACAATAGTGTAACTTCTCCATCCTCTCCCCTCCTCCTGTCTTCCGTATGCCAACAAGAGGCTTCAATAAAGGTAAGTGTGATGTTATTATTGTTTTATACTTGATGTCTCATTGTTGTCTGTATGTAAATCTATATGTAAAAAAAAAATTTTTTTTTTTTGTTAATACAGTGGACCCCCGGTTAACGAAATTTTTTCATTCCAGAAGTTTGTTCAGGTGCCAGTACTGACCGAATTTGTTCCCATAAGGAATATTGTGAAGTAGATTAGTCTATTTCAGACCCCCAAACATACACGTACAAACGCACTTACATAAATACACTTACATAATTGGTCGCATTGGGAGGTGATCGTTAAGCGGGGGTCCACTGTACTTTTTAGCGTCTGGAACAGCTTAATTGGATTTACATTATTTCTTATGGGGAAAATGGTTTTGCCATTTGCAAATTTCAACTTTCATTACACTCTGAAACAGATTAATTACGAAATTCGAGGGGTCAACTGTATTTTGGCAAATTTTACCTTGGCCTTTAGTAGAGAGAGTGTGCCTTGTATACTAATTTTTACCTTCTGTATAAACACATTTTAATGAACTACATTATTTTTTTTTTTTTCAATCTGTTGTCTAAGCCATGATACTCTGTCATAATTAGCTAACATGCCTTATACAACCTACACCAAAAATTATAAGTAGATAAACATTTCTCCACATTCACAATTTTATAACTACTAAATATCTTAAATCTACCTTGCAGTTTCTGAAACACAATCTTATAAGTAAGTGATGACTGTCTTATATAAGCAACTGTGATATTCCTACTTTATATATAAAGAAAAAATAGGCAAAACTGGTTTTTTCCCCTTAAAACCAATTTAAAAGATAATAACATCAGGTACTATATACAATCTAAGATTATTTAATAATGTACTCAGTCCTATAATTTGGCACACATACCTGGGAGAAAGCAATAATGGCGTGCGTGGATTCATGGTTTGAGAGCGACGACAACGCTGGGAGAGAGGCGACAGCGCCCGTAGGCGGTCCAAATCTCGGTGTAGAGCCTGTAATTAAAGAATTGGAATTAATCATTTAGACATGCTGCAATTTTAGTGAATTAATAAATCATTGTACCACATATAGTTTGGGATGAAAATACAAGAGGGGCATAATGAATACTGTACAAAACAAAAATTGCATTTGGAAACAGGAAATGGATGTAAAGTAAAAGGACACAAGTGCAACTAATGTGACATTTTATTGTGGCAATGTTTCGCTCTCCAGGAGCTTTGTCAAGCCGATACAAACAGTATATGGACACAGAGGGTATATAAAGGCTCAGAGTGAGGTGCAATACTAGTGAGGTACCATTTCAATGTTCACTAGTAGTAGTAGTAGTAGTAGTAGTAGTAGTGACAAAAGTTGTAGTAGTAATACAATATGGTAGAGCAATTAATTCATACAAGAGTAAAAGGATATAAAAGCCATTACTTGGGTAACATAAAAATAGGTTGGACAAATACAGACTGGATAGAGAAGGCCTTTTTCAGTGTTCACTCTCTGTAATGTGCTTTGTGTAGTATAACAGGACAGACTATGTGATGGCATAGTCTCTCCTGTTATACTACACAAAGCACATTACAGAGAGTGAACACTGAAAAAGGCCCTCTCTATCCAGTCTATATTTGTCCAACCTATTTTTATGTTACCCAAGTAATAGCTTTTATATCCTTTTACTCATGTATGAATTAATTGCTCTACCATATTGTATTACTACTACAACTTTTGTCACTACTACTACTACCACTAGTGAACATTGAAATGGTACCTCACTAGTATTGCACCTCACTCTGAGCCTTTATATACCCTCTGTGTCCATATACTGTTTTTATCGGCTTGACAAAGCTCCTGGAGAGCGAAACATTACCACAATAAAATGTCACATTAGTTGCACTTGTGTCCTTTTACTTTACATATTGTTGGTAATTCTACCAACTTTATTACAGGAAATGGATGAATATTGGTTGAGTAAAGGAGGATTTACATATGCCTATGATTTTACTTGTAACCAGTATCAAGGGGGTCTTCTACCTCCTGCAGCCCTGCCTGGATTACCTGGAGGTTACCTGGAGGTTATTCCGGGGATCAACGCCCCCGCGGCCCGGTCCATGACCAGGCCTCCCGATGGATCAGGGCCTGATCAACTAGGTTGTTACTGCTGGCCGCACGCAGTCCGACGTACGAGCCACAGCCCGGCTGATCCGGCACTGACTTTAGGTATCTGTCCAGCTCTCTCTTGAAGGCAGCCAGGGGTTTATTGGCAATTCCCCTAATGCTTGATGGGAGGCTGTTGAACAGTTTTGGGCCCCGGACACTTATGGTGTTTTCTCTTAGTGTACCAATGGCGCCCCTACTTTTTATTGACGGCATTTTGCATCGCCTGCCCAGCCTGAGACCAGGCCAAGAACTAAGTGGAAGTATATGGTAAGACTGTGCAAAGAAACACTGAAATGTTACTTCCAACATTTAAAAAACATATTAATACATACACAAATTGAAATAAGAAAATTTTTTTTCATTACTGTAATGCTTCCTCCTAATTTGTTAATACTGTACTGCACACAACTGATTTTTTAACATTTAATAATTAATTGTATCCTACTGATTATATATCAAAAGGATACGAGCCTTAATACTGATATAATTAAAATACTTCTTGCAAGTCTGAAGTTTCATAAGTACATCAGGTAAATAGTCTGCTGACAGAAGCTTTATATCCTAGGCAGGAAAACCTTACTTTCACAATTATGGATTCAGCAGCATTCTTTTCTTGTATTTTAATTTGTAAATTGCAATGACTTAAAAAATGTGTTAATTGTGCTGAATTTTGCTAATAAAAGGAATTAAAATTATAGTAAGAGATCAATAAAATTATCACAAGGTTACATGCAATTAATTCAAAATCTAAATGATTAATGAGCTTGAAACTATCTCTAGTAGAAGGTAGCTTATCTTTTTATTTTAATTGGGGGAGAAGTGTTAAACTCATAGGAGTAATACAGCACTTGGGGAATGGGAGGCTATCAGGTTTAATTCATGGAGGGAGGATAATTCAATTTCTAAGATCAACAGCACACCATTAGAATCAAGATCCATCGAAAATTGTCAAGATGAACATATTAAATCCTTAAATATATTGTTACGTATTTATTTTTTTAAATTTAAGTAAAAATTTTTTTAAATTCTAGTATAAACTGAGTTTTACTGATGAATATACTATGTATATATGTATATACGTACGTGTATAAATGCATTATTTTTATTATGATAATGATTATGATAATTATGATTTTTATAATTGTAATTATGATAATCGATTATTATTAAGCGCTAAACCCGAAAGTTATAATATGCCGCTGGGAGATATGCGAAAGAAGGAATATGTGAAGGATATGACAATGTATGTCTAGCTAGACTGTGTGACTTTACCAGAGGTTATTGGGTACGATGTGCAATATTTCTGCTGTCATCTACGTTATTCTTAGCAAGAAGCATTCATGCAAGACAACCGGCTGGCTCTCTATACCATGCAAGTGAATAAATAAAAATTTCGGGGATCTCTGTCAGGTTAATAAGCAATAATTATAGCATAGGTCAGCCTTTGGTTGTAGTAAACAAACAAGAGGGCAGACCCAGCCCCCTTATCTTATCTCGCATTTCATCTCCACTGTGATGATAACGCATCACCTGACGTCCCCCACTTTAACGGAAGTACTTTAGTGTTGTGACTACGGGATTTAAAGATGGCATTCAAGTTCAAGGGCGCCACAAACCTGGAAAAACTTACCCGTGGAGGGCCCATCCTCCTTTCACTTTCCAGGGGATAATTTAAACTTAGTGTGTGTAAGTGGCAAGAGATGGCGCGCACCTCCCCGCCGCCGCCGCTCAGCTGATCCTTCACTTGTCAACACTTACAACACTTCATACACCACACTACCAACCCAACATTTTGGCCCATTAATTGTCGAAATACACTTCAATTCCCAGTCAAATAAAGCTGCGAGTTTTCCTTGTAAATATTCAAGTTACACCACTGTCATGCAAATAAGGAAAATTAAGTCTCCCTCGTCGATATACAAATAAAGTATATTTGGGCAACATTCAACCATAAACAGAAACAGTAATGTTGTACGTTGGTCCAGTGCCGTTACCAGTTTAATAACACTTGTACGTTACTAGCTGTGTAGTGTAATTAAAGGCTAATTTGTAAAGATACCTGTTAATCCAATCAGAAGATATGAGCAATTATATATATATATATATATATATATATATATATATATATATATATATATATATATATATATATATATATATATATATATATATATATATATATACAATGGCGCAGGAAGGTGAGCTTAATGCAATACAAGCCACATGGGGATTAAAATCTTCAGCTCAAGATCTTTCACACGTCTCCACGCGTCATCAGGAGCTATGCAATACTGCAAGAGCAGCAACATATCTTTGATATTCCGGGTGTATGACTCAACCTGAGTAAACACTGCATGCAAATAGCAGGACACAAAATTTGGAACCTACCTGAAAGATCAAAAAGCTTATACGCTCTCAATAGTTTAAAAAAAATCGTCAAAAACTTCTACTGCACCTGATGGAATACTAAATATATAACGGTAAACATTTAATGTTAGCTATATTTTACGCGTGCGACTTTTTCAACTATCTCCCTGATGTAATCAAAACCACTTTTTATGTACAAAAATTATTCCTCTTGAATTATCACACAGGCTAAAACTGCGTGTTATACTCCATCATAACACTTGTGCTAAAATTAAATAGTTCATAAGTACTGGTTTTAGTTTTATATTTTACATAACATGGGACTTTCCCTATAATGTACAAAAATGTGATTTGATCTAATGTAAGTAATGTATACACGTGTAACAAAAATACACGTCTCACGTCTCAGGAGAACTGAATATCAAAACCCCTTCTCACCGAAAATGGAAAATTGCTACAAAAGCTTTTGCTAATCACTAAGGATGTTTCATCAGTACCATGCGGAAAAGAAAACATAAGCAAGAATAATATGTAGCTACAGACTGGGGGCTTTGTCAGAAGTAAATACTTTATATATACATATATATATCACCGGTCGTTTACCACTAAAGAGTATATACGCTAATGCTTCACTGATACGTACTCGTTTGTGTAAATAGACTGTCAACTTACCTGGAGTCACTTCCGGAGGTCACTGCCCCCACGGCCCGGTCCTAGACCAGACTTAGCTCAATTACTGCAATAATGAAGTGCTAAACCCGTAGGGGTCATATCGTGACTGGAAAATGGGGGATGAGAGGTAATAAGCTTCGATCCATGAAAGGGAATGGTAGTTCCGCTTCCATGGACCAAGAGCCTTTTGGAACTGGATTGTCAAGGGTTTGAATCCTCCGTTCGGTGAGTTAACAGTGACAAAATCGTTTAGTCTACTAATCTTGTACCTTTCTCACAAGTTTTACTTTGCTTTATTCCTTCGGAAAGAGGATCTGCTAGTCCCTATTTGGATTGCTCCACTTTTTGAAAATTTATTACGATTTTCTTATAAAAGCTATAAACTTAAGTTTCCCAAACCAAAATTATATTCAGAATTCTATTTACTGCTAGTTTTACCAAATCGTAGACTACCTCCTGTTCCCGGAGATCTATGTAGGCGAGAACCTATAAGAGACTGGCCTGAATATTTTGTAAGGATTCAAGTTGTAAGATGGGAGTCCAGTGATTAATTCTAACATTTCTTTGCACTGCATTACCAATGAATTGGTTTACAATGACAGTACTTCTCATCCGCCCACTGTTAAGAGCTGAGTTATCAATAGAGAACTTCAAACAGTCTATGATGATATTTTAAATGTGCAGACTGTGTATGAATTTCAGATCGATGAATTTACTTGACACTGAGAACTAGTCTTGATTAGTTTGTTGTTGGGGAGGGAAGAGGAAAATAGTTCGGCAAGATGCATAGTGGGAAATGCTTCGTCCT